TTAGAGTTATGATAGATTGCTTAGGAATAGATAACAACATAGTTTTCATTTGTAATTGCATTGTAAGGAAAAGTTTTTCCGCAGTTTTATAAATAAAAGAAATTTTTTTGATTTTATCTTATTTTAAGTTTCCTTGCAATGGCATTTGTGAAAAATTGTTGTTTATATGTTTCCATTGATAGCAATATTAGAAAATGGATTTGATTCTTTCGTTTGTGGTAGTGTCAAGATTTACCAAATAAGGAAAGATTCTCATCACCCAAGTTTCAGTTGGATAGAAACTTGGAATCATGCAACTTGTATTGTGTGATGAATGAGAACCTTCGTCTTTGGGAAATTAAGACTAATTCCTTGTTCACATGTATATGTGAGTCAAGTGAAGGAATAGGGGATCAGGTACACTTGGTTGTGCACTGGTCAGGTCCACCACAAAGAACAATAAGATTATTCGTTATGATTTACTAAAAGTTTAGTAAATATGGTTATACTTACAAGATTAAGTGTAATTCTGAATCATTGAAAATGTTTCAATGTATAGCAGAACGAATAAGAAGAATCAAATTAGGCAGAAAAATAAAAGTTTCTCCAATCTAAAAAGTAGTGAGAGTACTTGAGTATCGTGTTTTATGATTATCTTAGTGATTATGAAACCATATCACAATTGATCCTCTAAGGACATCTTAGTGCATTTGAATGGCTAAGAAAAGGAATCGTGAATTGTTGAAATGGTTAAATCAAAAGGTGAATCGTACTTCGTTCCAAAATCGAGTCTTAGAGTCGTACTCCAAGATTGTAACTTGAGTGACATAATATTAAGAAAGGTTTATAACACTTATCAAATGTAGAGTAAAATGTTTCTTATTCTTGTACATTTGAAATTGATAAGTTGTGATGTCTTGGATAAGACAAAGACCAACTAAGACCAATTGTGTGAAGTGTTTGTCTCGATAAGAAACGACACTAACGCTTGAATATTTGTTTGTCAAGGAATGATTATTGACAAGGGAATCTTATATGTCAAGAGGTCAGTGGGAGTCTTAAAGATCTTGAAAAGTTTCAAGAACTAATCAAGAGTAAACCTATTGTTAATTACTAGCGCACGACTTGAGGTTTGTAACGAATCGTGTTGATATATTCTTGTTTCTGTGCCCATTCCAGTTGAAGTTGACAATGCATGTGAGTTCTATGAGTGCTCAATTGTTTGTATAACAACTTGGAAGCAATGGTAGGCCCTTGTGCTGCCAGATGGCAAGAAATTAAGATTGAACAAGTTTATTCCATATGAGTTTGGATTTGTCACTAACCTTGTCTTGTGATTATGGTTACGACAAACTCACATGGATAGGAACACATACACCATAAAATCTAAGTGTCATAAGGTTTCTCTCCAATTCATGAAAATGATTGTGAGGAAAAGCTTTCACTAAGTAGATTTTAAGGAGATAGCAATTGTGATATTTGCATTCTCAAATTCGATTATGATTACGACATCCCTCTTCATAGTTCGAATTGTGAGAAATGGCAAAAGGTCTAAACAGTTGAGACTTATTGTTGTAAGTTCTAAAATTGTTTAGACACACATGTGAGCTATATAAGGAAAGGTGTATGAGTTTGAGAAGCCTAGATAAAGTCTTATCGAAGCATTTTGTATCAGAAATATGAACTTTGGTAAGAAAGTCAACAAGTATTGATTTCTAGAAGTCCAGCTGATTTCTGGGTACATGTCAAAGCTAGTAGGAGCGTAAGTGTTATGTTATTAAAGAAATAATTGTTATGCCAGTGGGAGCATAATCATTATGGTAAGTGTTGCAAGTTAGCAATGTTAATTATAGAAAACAAAAGTTTCAATTTGCAAAGTTGCAGAGTTTGAAAAGTTGTTTTGCTATAATTAAGGGAGAGGAACTCATACTTTATTTCAAATATTAAAGCTTAGATTGTGAGATTTTAATCAAATTTAGTCAAGGATATATATGAATGTTATGTTGGAATAGTTCAACATAAGGAAATTCTATATATGGAAATATTATAGCAGGAGAATGGTAAAGTATCATGTCTTTATGTAAGACATTATGAATCGTATCCCATATGCTTCAGGTATATGATCGATTGCATATGCTATAATATTTATGTGTTCTGAATTTTCCAAAATGCCTAGGGCATTAAAAAGGAAAAAGGACCAGAACCGGATATGACTAAAGTTGCTAAACAATTGCTAAGAACAATCTAAGGTTCGCCAAAGATTGGTTGCTTGTGGGTAATTGGAAGTATTGTAATGGATGGACCATATTGACATTATTATGAATAGACAAGATTCTATTAATAATGAGCTGTCATATGGAAAATATGGAAATGTTTGCATAATGGGAGTTGGATATTAAGAATCTATGTGTAGGTTGGAAACTTTTATGCAAGAAGGATGTTCAAAGGAATGTACTTTGAATTTGAGACTTCACTTCCATGGAATTGTTTTGTTATCAATCTCCAGTGGAATGTTTTGTAATATCGTTGGCAAAGTCTCTGTGACTGTAGTACCATGACATTACAAAAGGTTATATTGCATGATAGTTTAGAATCTAACACATTCTAATAGTGGCAAGAATTTGGCATTCTTACGCTTGTCATAAAGATTTGGAATTGTGAAATGAGCATCATTGAAAAGTTTTCACAAAGTAAGGACGATAGATAAACATAGCATGCATGCTTGGAGCATGGGATAACTATTGTTTTAATTCAAGTATAAAGTTGATAAATCGAAACATTATACAATGAATAATGTGTAATCAATATGGTGATTAAATAAAATGTGTTTTATTTATATTCAAAGTTTTGAGACCATATTGGATTCGATTATTCTTTTGTTTCACTTTGCATGTTTTGACTTCCAGAATAATAAGATTATTCAAACTATCCACATTCGATCATATTTTGGAAGTAGGTATTGAGGCAAGACTGTCATGAATCTGACTGTAGATTGTCTAGGTGTTTTAGACATAGCACAAGTTTGCTGCAGTGTTCATGAGTACTCTTGTAATAAGATTTGAGTATTAGATTAAACCCATGCTCATTTGAATCACTTCACGGATTTTATCACGAGTGATTAGTGAGACGATAATATCTTATATTCTTGAAACGGAGACATATAGTTGCAGTTTACAAGTCGGTTGCACATTGATGATATGCAAACGCACCAGTAACTTGGTGTTATAAAACGTATCATTGTGTGTGATTTGATGAATAAATAGAGCAAACATATGAGTTTAAGTTTATCCGTTCCTTTTACCCTAAGAGGGATAAAAGCGATATATGTGGGCCCCTCGATGATTTAGTGATGACACCCTAAGCGCTTGGCCAAGCGTGGACTGATTTGATTTGTTCAATTAGTCAGTTGTCATAAATCGGAAATCGGGAAACAACAAATGGACAGAGAGAATGATTATAATCCATGTCTCAGTCCATATGATATCTTGTAGAATGGAGGAATATATGATCCCTTATCTAATGGACGCGTCATTGACTGGGTCATAGTTCGACAGCGGCTTTTAAGAGCTACGATTGCTAGTCAGTGTTTAAGTCGTACTTACAGTTATAGTTATTAGACTTATCCAAGTGGGAGACTGTTGGATTAGATGTCTAAGCCCATAACTACAATTAGTATGTACTTGACCCGAGAGTAACATGGTCCATTTTGGGTTGCATATCACGAGGACAATTTGATAGGATGGATATTTGAGTAAGAGGTAATTTTTGATTTACTAATATATTATAAGTATAATATATTAATGGAGAAATCATATTATTTAATTAGTATCGATCAAGAATTAATTTGGAATTAATTTAGTGATCAAAAGAGACTAATTAAATTAACTGGGACTGATTATGTAAATCAGTGATATATATATATATATATATATATATATATATATATATATAGTTGTAAGAAGATAAGAATCCATAAAGGATTCTAATCTTCTTACCACAAAGACAAGCAAATGTAGCCAAAAACATAAAAAGATAAAACTATTGCTCTTAGACCCGGCCTCCAAGGTTTTAAAAATCGGTCGAGGCGTACGCCTCGAGGCGCGCCTTGAGGCGAGGCGGACAAAAAGCGATTCTGAGGCGTCGCTTCTTAGGGGCAGAATGAGGTGCACGCCTCAGTCTTGTGAGGCGGTAAAAGGCGATCCGAGGCGGGGCGTTTTCCGAAGGTACTAAGCTGAAATTGAAGTTGAAATTTATTTGACCTAGTTTTTCTCCAGCCGTCATTCCCTCTTTTCTCGTTTCTTCTTTCTTTTCTCTTCTCGTTTCTTCTTACTCCCCCCTGTTAAGTGTTAGCAAAATCAAACATGGTCATCAACTTGTGAGTAAAAATCGATGTTCTTCCCCACTTCTGCATCAAAATCCGAAGGTACTAAGCTGAAATTGAAGTTGGACTTCTCGAAGGCTGCTTGAGTCTTGACTGCTTCAAATCAAAGGTTAGAAAAAAATCGGAAACTCTATCCACTTTACTGTGTTTTTCATGAGTTTGTGTCTTCTGTTCTTTTGGTAATTACACTCTCATTTTGGTAATTACACTCTCATTTTGGTAATTACACAACTCGAATTAGACAACACAGTGTTATCAGTTTGGTAGTTTCTCCCTGTAATGCTTTTGTACGCTCACTTTATTGCAGATTATTTATTAAGTCTTGGACTTAAAATGGCTTCTAAAGGAGCACGAAATGATCCAGCTTGGGGACATAGTGAAGAGGTAGAAGTACCTGGAGAGGGTGCCAAAAAAGGTTACAAATACCTCAAGTGTAACTATTGTAGTAAGGTTGTCAAAGGGGGGGGGGGTAAAACGAATGAAGGAACATCTTGCTGGATCACGAAAAGATGTTGCACCTTGTTTAAACGTGCCCGACATAGTCAAGGAAGAAATGAAACAATATCTAAAAGCATATGAAGAATAGAAATTCGCTAAGCAACGTAATTTTGAGGAAAATGTGGGTTGTGGATCATACCATATGAGCAATAACACTCACAATGTTATGGGTGCAAATTCTAGTCCTAGTGTTAGCACCAAGGGTGTTAGAGGCCTGATAGACCATTATATGGAGATTCCACTTGATGATGACCAAGGGACAATAACGGTTGAGAAGATGACACCAGCAAAGGCTAAAGAACACCGCAATAGAGTTTGCTTGGATATTGGGCGATGCTTTTATGAGAATGGGATGCCATTTAATATTGCATCGAGTCCGGCTTTTGTAAATATGGTGCGTTCAATTGGTAATTATGGTCGTGACTTAAAACCTCCTTCAGCACACGAGTTGGGCACTTGGATTTTAAAAGAAGAAGTCAAGACAACCACTACATTTGTTGATGACATAAAAGCTACATGGAAGCAAACAGGAGTTTCATTGTTATCAGATGGTTGGTCCGATATTAGAAACAGAAGCTTGATCAACTTTCTTGTGAACAATCAATATAGGACAATTTTTTTGAAAACTGTTGACGCGTCAGATTGCATAAAAAATGCACAGAAGTTGTTCGAACTACTTGATGGTGTTATTGAGGAAATCGGTGAAGATATTGTCATTCAAGTGATCACAGATAATGCAAGCGCGTACAAAGCTGCTGGTACCTTGTTGATGGAGAAGCGAAAACATTTATATTGGACTCCGTGTGCTGCTCATTGCATAGATTTGATGCTTGAGAAGATTGGAGGGTTGCCACAAAACAAAAATGCTTTACTTAAGGCTAAAAAAGTAAGCAATTTTATTCATAACCATCAGTGGGTTTTGAGCTTAGCAAGAAAGTTTGCAAAGAAAGATCTTCTTCGGCCGGCTGCTACCCGATTTGCCACTGCATTTTTGACACTAGAAAGCATGTACGAGTTGAAACAACCATTACAACAGATGTTTGTTTCAACTGAGTGGTCAAATTGTGCTTGGGCTAAGAAGTCGGATGGAATAGCTGTCAAGAAGATTGTCATGGATGAAGTTTATTTTTGGCCAAGTGTGGTTTATTCAATGAAAACCACAAGGCCTCTGGTTCATGTTTTGAGACTTGTTGATGGTGAAAAAGAACTGGCAATGGCTTATATTTATGGTGCTATGGATGAATGCAAGGAAAAGATTGCCAAAAATTTTGATGGGGATGTGGGTTCTTACAAGGAAATATGGGACATTATTGATGAAAAATGGGAGAATCAAATGCACCGTGGCTTGCATGCAGCGGCTTATTTCTTGAACTCGCGCTATAGGTGGAGTCCCGATGTTTCCCGACATCCCGAGATAAAAATGGGTTTGTATAGGTGCATGGAAAGACTCTTGGATCAAGAAACTAATGAAAAGGTTGATTCACAGCTCGATGAGTTTAAGTACAAGAGAGGGTTGTTTGGATATAATGCGGCTTTAACATCATACCTTAAACGGCCTCCGGGTATAAACTAGGAGTATAATTATATATACATTTTTCAATTATTATTAAATATTATACTAATTTGAATTTGGTTTTTCGTTTATTTATGTAGTTGAATGGTGGGATAACTTTGGAGAGAGTGTGCCCGAGCTCATGATGTTTGCAACAAAAATATTGGGTCTAACTTGTTCCGCTTCAGCTTGCGAAAGGAATTGGAGTACATTTAATCAAGTACACACAAAGAGAAGGAACCGGTTGACTACGAGTAAAATGAATAGCTTGGTGTACATTATGTACAACAAGAAGTTGAAGAGAAAGTTTCTCTCAAAGAAGAAGCTAGGAGAGGGTGATGATCCCTTAATTGTTGAGGAATTGCCATCTGATGATGAATGGTTAGCTGACCTAAGTATCGAAGACGATGAGAATAGTGAAGAAGTTGGAACCGATGAAGTTGCAATAGACGTTGGAACAAGTGCAAGTTCTAGTTCAAAAAGGAGGAAAGGTGTTCAACTAAATCTGGTTGATGAAGATGATGAGCTCGATGGTCAAATGGAAGATGATGATGACCTTGGTTTTTGTTGATTTGGCTTGATTTGAAGACTATTATGCTTTTGTTTTTACTAATTTGGCATGATTTGAAGACTATTATGAATTTTAGTATGTTTTTATTTTTGGGATGATGACATTAAGTAAGACTTTTATGTTTGAAATTGGACTTTAGTATGTTTTTTATGATTAATATAATATATTATTATTATTATTATTTTATTTCGCCTCGAGGCTTACGCCTCGTGAGGCGAGGGGTAAACGCCTCGAGGCCCGATTCCGTATTTTAAAACCTTGCCGGCCTCCTTATCTTTTAGATGCTTAGTATACAATACATTCACATCTACATATGAAAAAGTAACCATATATGTATACTAACAATTATTTATAAATAATGACTAGAAAATAAAGAGAAGGCCTGAAAGTATGGCACCACTACCCACTTTCAAGTCCTCTTCACCACATATGATGTCCGTATCTGAGCAACTAACTTTATATTCAGCAGCACCATATATTGTTCATCAACTTACGAGTCAACTTCACATTGGTTATTAACATATTCTTTGTAGTGTTGGGCAAGTTGTTTGCACTTAGTTGGAATTTTCTACAAACCCATATTAGGAAATAACATAAAAAACTCAAGTTTATGAACATATACTAGGAAAAAAAGAAAACCCAAAGAGAACGTGTTGTTCTCGAGTTATGAAACTATTAAAGCAGCTCCCTCTTCTCATGAAATTGTGCAAATGATTTGGGACTTAGGTATATAAACATTCACCGGTCAAAGTATAAAGTATAAGGAGTCGAAATATAACCTAGTATACATGAGTGTTGTGTTAGGTGTCACGTTATCCGGTTATTATTTTATGAGGGTTTCATGTTGCCATAAACGATAAAAAAGAAAATGAAAGTTGAATGCTATTTTGGATCAAACTTAATATATGTTGTCAATAATCTAATTACGTTGTTATTTAGCGTAACTAGCTATTTGATTTCCTACTAATATATTTTTCTTAATACAAACATTTTAGTTATCATCATACAACGATATGAGAAGGCAAACGGGCAACAAGTTGCGCCGCTAAGCCCTTTTGTATGGTAAAACCAATTCTTTTGAAGACTACATCCATAGATCTAGGGGATATAACATTGCCAAAACTACAATCATTGTGCATTAAATGCTTAAACAAAAGGATTTTTTATTGAAAACTTACATCATCGACTTTTCTTTGTGTGAATGTTATGAGAAGTATAAACTTGTTTAGTAACACCCAAAGTTGTAGATTAGATGTTTTTAACCATATTTTTAATTAAAACATTTTTAATAAGTAGGGTAGTGGTGAGTCGGGTCTAGATGTCTAACTATGACAAGTTGCAAATAAGAGTTGATAATTAATGCTTAAAGTATTCATGGTTTTAAAAAACATGAGGTGGTGGGAAAAAGCCAAAGACTCAACCGTAAGACGCGTCATCGGTATGAGACGGTAAAAGGCAGAATGAGGTGATGCAAAGTTTTCTTTTCCTAAAACGAGAATAATATTACAAAGTTTGATATGTTAAAGACAAAAAAGCACATACGACTTGTTTTTAATTAGATTCGTAACTTAATCAAATCTCTCCATTGATATATTGTTTTTAATTAGATTCCTAACCTAATCAAATCTCTCCATTGATATAGCTCTACATTGCCCATTATTTTTTTACGCTAAAATTTTCCGATATTGAACTTCATACATTTGATATTATCTCCATAATCGGTTGTGGGGGTTGAGGTGTTTCATAGAGAAAATGGAGAAGAGACGTCCCCCCGTTCATCGGTAAATGTGGAGAGGAAAAGAACAAAAATGCTTTTGTATTATTTGTTTTTTTCGAAGTTTAAATAGACTGATTTTACAAATTAAAATAGTTTTTCAACACCAAAATTTCAATAATTTTAATCTTACAACATTTAAATAAAATTCATATAACCAAATTAGTCTTACAATAAATATTTTAGTCTTAAATTAACAATTTCATTTAAAATAAGTCATTCCATGTGTTGGAACCTCGTCTTCATCATCATCAACGGACATATTGTTATTTCGAAACGAGACACTGGATTTACCGTATCGTGCAAAATACTCATCACTCAGTGTCGGGAATCGTGTTTTCAAGACACCAAAAGCACGCACGATGACGTTCCGAAGTTTTGCATATGTATATTTAAAATTTTCTTTATTGCTTAATGTACGTCTTTGACGAAAATCTCCAAGCCAATACGTGACATTACGATATGGGGTCATAAATCATCGAATGTGTCCATACACGACATCACAAAGATAATATTTCTCTGTAAAATGAAAAAAAATTAGTTTTCAAACTAAGATAAAAGTATTTAAGAAACCATAAACTTGTCTGGTAGTGGAAACGAATATAGTACATGTGGATATGATAATGCTTCTGATAATATTCTAAAATCATGTGCTACCCCTTCCCAACCAGCCATAATAAACATAAAAATCATATTGAAGTCACAAATTGTCAATACATTTTGATAACAATCGTCTTTTCCCCTAGCTCTATATAAATCTTGTTTCTTAACAGGGACAACATGTATCAAAGTGTCATCAAGTGCACCAACCACTCATTTGAAAACCTGTCATATTTTCTTATCATGTCCCGCAATGTTTGGATTCACATTTAAAAAAAGTTGGTACTATAATGTCTTTTGTGAATAACATTATTTTGTCCAACACTTCATGAAAAAAAAATTATGAATTGTTTGCTTTGAGTGTTGAAATCTCCGTTTGATAATCACGTGACGTTGATTAATGACCGATTATCATAAAAACAAAGCAATCTTTACGTCAACCGATACATGTTACTATCATTTAACGAGTAATTTACTCGTAAATGACAACATAGTTAGACAAAAGATCCACAAGACGTGTAGTACTTCAACACATTGTGGATGATTACGTTCCAACTTCCAATAACTCTAACGTGTATTCATGTTCCGTCATTTTCGAGTCACTCTCTCGCACTCATTTCACACCCCTCCTCCAAAATAGCGGACATACCAAGTACATTAGAATTACGAGAAGTATCTTTTGATCGTGATTCATTATGAACCTATTAATCAACAAAAGTAGAAATTTAAACCATAACATTAACCAAAATTCAAGTAGAAAAAAACAAAACATTACCTAAAATTCAATTAGCAAAAAACATAACATTAACCAAACTCAAATGGAAAAAATAGCATTAATCAAATAGTTCCCAAAAAAAAAAAAAAAAAAAAAACCAATAGTTCCAACACAAGCAAAAACCTTCAACAATGGTTCCAACACAAGCAAAAACCTTCAACAATGGTTCCAACACAAGCAAAATCATCGGACAATCTTTCATCCTTTAGAACTCCTAAACTTGTACCAGTCATCTCGATCCAACATCTTAATATCTCGGGATTATTTGGAAAATTTATCCACATCTCTCTCACATTCATGATCCCTCCAAAAATGTGATAAGCAACCAAGTGTAGAGGATATATTGGGCCTAACTCAAGCAACTCTAACTTATTTAAACATTGAGGAATTGCATGTCGTATTATCCCTTTGATCAAATGTCATAGAGCTTTTTACATATCAAGTGTTAAATTGTCAACACTAATAGAAGTTTTTGGTGAAGCACCAGAAAGTGAATTGGGTGAGGCACTAGGAGCTCGAGCTCTAGGAGTTAAGGGTTTAGCCCTTTTGTTGGGGTTACCGGAAGGCAAAGCAGGAGAAGGTGGTGGCTCAGGAAAAGACTCACTAGTATGATGGGTAGTGTCATCATCATCTATGGCAAGAGAAGGGGTGTCCATAAGCTGAAGTGGTTAGACATGAAAAGAAGATGATCCATGTCCCGATGTTGTTTGAGATGGGGTCTACCTAAGATTACCAATGACACTGTTTCCATCAAAGAGGGTTCATCATCTATGGAAAGTGAATGGGTGTCCGTAAGCTGAAGTGGTTGGACATGACAATAAGATCTATGTCCTGATGTTGTTTGGGATAAGGTCCACCTGAGATTACCATTGGCACTATTTCCATCAAAGATTGTTACACAAAGCTTTGGAAACGACAATGGGATAGTTTTCAAGGAAGCGGCCTTCGGATATCCCTAAGCCCAATGTATGAAAAGTAGAATAAGAATAATTGACAACTATATACAATAATGTTAAAAAAATACATACACACACCTTATACAACTAGTGAGCCTTTTCCTGAGCCAAAATCTTCTGATGCTTTACCTTCCGGTAACCTCAACAAAATGGTTAAACCCTCAACTCCAGGAGCTCAAGCTCCAAGTGCCTCACCTGATCCAACTTTCGGTGTCTCACCTAAAACTTCTATTAATGTTGGTGATTTAGCACTTGATATGCAAAAAGCTATACGACATTTGATTAAAGGGCCAATAGGGCATATAGTTCTTCAATGTTTAGAGATGTTTGAGTTGTTTGAGTTAA